AAAGAGTCGCCATGTTTAGCAGCTTTTTTAAAGATCTCGTCAATTTCACACAGAACGCGCCCGCTCGGTCCCAGCCCTCGCCTTTTGTCCGACTCAGTCGCAGCAAAAGATCTTTTGTTCTAACTCAGCGTGAAAAGAAAAACTTTCTTTAAATGCAATAAACTTAAACCAAGCTCAAGAATCTAAACAGATCCTCCTCCGGGCCGCTCTCAACACAGACGAGAGGTTTTATTTTAACCGTTGGAGAAATGTGGGGAACTGTTTGGCTGCCTCGCAGACACCCCCCGTCTGCTGCAACTCCAGAGACCCAGAGAGGACACTACCCCGGCGCCTAGGACCCATGCTGGAAGCAGAATAAAACAGGCACCGTCTCTGGCTTGGAAAAAATCATAAATTATCATTTAATGCCAATAATAATTTACAACAAATGGCTGTTTACAAGAAGCTAACACAAAACAAGGCAGGAGCCGGGCCTGTGTGTGACTTTAACTGGACCAACTTCACACGCTCTGCGTGGACAGCCCTTGGTGCGAGAGGAGACAAGGAGACGCCCAGGAGACAAGGACCCACAGAACCTCGACCCAAAGGGTCAGGGCTCTTCTGCCCTAAGAACATGCTGAGAGTCATGTATGTGCGGAGCTACCCACGGAAGCTGGGGGTGCGCCGGGGACCTGCCCAGATGCTCACATCACACCAGAGTCCTGCTCTACATGCACCGCCTGGCACCTGAGTCTCCAAGTTTAATAGACTTTGCAAAATGACCCCTTTTCTTTCTCCTCCCCTCCCCACCCCGTTTTTAAATTAAACCACAACACAGGGAAATGGGGGGTGGGGTGCTGGAGAGAGAGACAGCCTCAACAAGAACAAAATTGCAAGCTCCCAGGAGCTGAGCTTTCTCCACACCGGGAAAGGGGGGTGGGGTGGGGAGGAGGGAAGAGACACCCAGACAAAATAGCCCCTACTTCCACTCAGCACACCCTGTCAGTCAAGTTTCCTTCCTTTCCTTCTCTCTCTCCCTCTCCCTCTCTCTCCGTTTTCTTAATTTGGCTCCTCAGGACCAAGGGTCCCATGAGGAGAGCGTCCACACGGTCTGAAATGTCAGGATGTCCATGTGTTTTCAGGCCCAGAACGCCAGTGGCCGTGTGTCAGGCCCTCACGGAAGCGGGGAGGGGACAGGCAGTTGTCACATAGACAGTAAAAGCAGACCCCTCAGCACAGCATTTAAAATCCTCTCAACAGCTACGCTAGACAAGAACCACAGACTATATATATATATATATATATTTTAAAATCACACCTACTTCAGGAAAAACTCCTTGTACACAGTCTCCTGCGTCAGAAATGTACAAAACACTATTTTTTTTCCTCTGATCATAAAATAGATACTGATCTCCAGATTTCTAAGACTTTGCACAATACCTTCTCTTCCCTAAGCAGGCACTTAAGTGTGACAAATATAAGGGCCTCTATTATTTTGTTTTCCTGGAAAATCCATTTTTAATTAAAAAGAGGATTAGGGGAAGGGGAGTGGTTTACCAAGTCAGGATGGCACTTCCTAAAACCATAGATAAACCATTAACTTCAGCTTCCCCTCCCCCCCAACATTCCCAAATTAAGCAGGCAGTAACACTAGTCCACTTTGGAACAAACTGAGAATCGTAAACAAGTGGACCCTCCAGCCCCACTGGGGACAGCTCTTAGGGGGCTCTTGTCCATGGCAAGTCAGTGAGTGGGGACAGCCAAACAGGTTTCAGATATCAAATAATATTTTAATTTCTGAATACTTTCAAATTTTCCTTGGAATATAACACACAAAGACTCGACCAAACAGTTCAGTTATTATAACTTTTACAGTATACAGAAATGTTGCACTTTAAAAAAAAAACCTTCAGTTTTTTTTAAAACACAAACTGTAAACTCTAAGATACTGAATCAATCACATTATCTATAAGTGCCAACAGTGTTATTTTGTCATGCTGATTTCAATGGGTATTTTTTTTTTAAAAAGGGAATATCAACAGTTATAATACAAAGGGTTTGCAAATATACAAACAGATAGAGGATTTTTCATAACAATTCAAGAACTAAGCGGGGACCCAATTCAAATTACAAAAGTTCACTTTTTATTCAAAACCTCAGCATGTGTCTTGGACACATTCCTTGGCTGCCAATAAATTCCACAGTTCATTCTCTTTCTTAAAATATTTTTTAAAAAGCTAGGTTTGTCTTGGTGTCTTTTTTTGGGGGGGGGGGCAGGGAAGGGGAGTTAAGTGTTGTATGTGGTTCTTGCAGATCTCAAATTAGCTCAACGTCACCTAAAATTTTTGGCCATCACCTATAAGTGCGTTCCCATCAGCTCTGAGTTTCCTTTTAAAAAGTTTTAATGTCTTCCTATGATATTTTCATGGACTCGGTTTTAATTCTTGCAGAACATATATTTTAAGGATACACAGTTTTTAAGAAGCCAAGGTTATATCAAAACTTATTATAGAACCACAGAGTAAACTGGTTTAGAACCAGGAAAATACAAAAAGAGAACAGCTAGAGGTACAGACACAGGACAATGAATAATTTGGAAAAAAAAAAAAAAAGACTTACTTTCTCCATTCTGCTAATTTTCTCCCAATCTCCTTAAATGCACTTTTAGCAATATTTTTCAAAAATTTACCAAAAAAAAAAGAAAAAGACTAATTTCCTTTTTATACAAAAAAAAAAAAAGATAAGTAGCAAGTTGTTCTGACCGACACAGGAGTTGTTTTTTTGTTTTGTTTTTGTTTTAATGCATTCTGTAAAAGTTCATTTGACAGTCTCTTAATTTTTTGGAAATTCACAGTCCATTAAGTTCTTCCCCTCTCTTCTTTTTGTTTTTTTTTTTTGTTTTTTTTAGCAAACGTGTAACATCCTTTTATATCCTTTCTTAACAGAAGGAATTAAGCAAACAAACCAGTCTTTTTTTATCTTTGCTTTCTCTGCTTCACTCTCCCTTCTGACTTGGGTTTTTTTTTTTTTTTTTATTGAATTGCCATATACGGCCAGTTAAAACTGCTGCCGGACAGTAACATATCCCTGATGAGGGTTTCGATGGGGGTTTTACCTACCAAACGGACGAAAAACAATTGCTCTATGACTGAGGAGGAGACGGTGCGCAGAGAAGGGAGGCGAAGCAAGAGCTTCCCGAATCGCGTGGGCTGGTTGGGGTACTGGCTCCTGACATACTCTTCCAAGGCGCACTGGGACTTTTCCTGCAAGCTCTCCACGTGAGCTACATCCGACAGACCACAGGCATCTGGAAGAAAGTTTAAAAAAAAAAAAAAAGGAAAATTCAGTCATCAGATGAAGAGGTTTGCAATGGGTCACATGAGGTGTGTAGACATGGCTCCGTCAAGCTGCCCCCATCTCCAACTCCCTCAGAAATGCCTAGGGCCGATAACTTGGGGGGGGGGGAGCTGGAGCTGGTCTTGGGGTATCTGCATAAAAAATAAACCCCAGTTCTGTAGCTCTCCAGGCTTCCCTGTCCCAGCCCCAGGCTTGGTCACTGGGAGGCCCAGGCAAAGTGCACTGGGTGAAATCGGCCTCCAGTCAGTAAACAGAAAGACAAACAGATGAAACCAAAAGTGCCCATGCCCCTCCCCTCCTCCTCTGTAAATAATAGTTAGGCTTATAATTATAGAGGGGGGGGGGTGGGCGACAGCCCGGGCCCGGGGTGGAGGAATGGCGTCCACGGCCCAGCCTCAGATTGTCCCCAAAGAGGGCGACTCATTTTTCTCCGGTCTTTGAAACTGATTTAAGTGGCCCTTTAAAACTGATCTTGTCAGTTTAGCCCATTGAAGGGCAGCCATGCAAACTGTGATCTCTCTTCATTTGAGCTGTTTCTTTCCCCCCTTTCTTCTCTCTCCCCTTTTCTCTTACCCCCCTTTAGTTATTTTTTTTTTAACAACTCAGGCCCCTCCAGAGAGATACCCTCCCCCCTTTCCCCGATATCTTCAGGAAAACACTTTTCTTTTTCTGATACGGAAAAAAATACAAGTGCCTTTGAAATGAGAGGCTGCTTGGTGGAGGCGGCGCAGCCTGTGACCTGACCTCAGGGGGCTCCCCAGACAAGACGGGGGCTGACACACACACACACACACACCCACACCCTGTGCCTCTGAAAGC